CTTTCTATATATATATATATATATATATATATATATATTCACGTGTTTCTCTCAAATCTAAATCAAATCTATCCCTCTCTCAACTCAATGAGAGAGCTCCATCCTACTCAACACATTAAATAAAATCCCTTTTCAAGCCCTTTCATGCCTCAAATCCTAAACCAGCCAACAGAAAATTTCAAAAAATTACACCCATGCCCTGAAAAATAAATTTTCTTGATAAATAAAATAAATATTTCTATCAGCCTAATTCTTCGACTTCCCAGATGAGATTTATATCAAGAACTCACCCCCACCATCTCCCTTTTGTCCTATTCATGGGGCTTGAAAATAACTGCAATAAGTTACACACGTCACAGAAAATCACCATCACCTAGAACTAAGAGGATTTAACATTGTGAAGTATGATCAAACCAAGCAAAGCAAATTCAGTTTTTAGAAATGTTACGGTGAATACACATAGCATGACAAATATTTCCAGAAAATAACTCAAAAGTAACATGTTGAAGAGCAACACATACCTGCAATAAAGGAACTTCCTCAATTGGGAGCTCTGCTCCAAGGTCTCCACGAGCAACCATTGCCTGACAACAGCGGAGAGATTAGTACATCTCATGATAACAATAAAAATCCTCTTAATTACGAGGTGCAGAAATGTTGAACATGGGAAAGTATATGAACCATGAAGTAATCTCATAGGCAACCATATTGAATTCAAACCAAAACCAGTTTAATCAAAGACATAAGTTAATTGAACACCAAGCTAGAGAGATAAAGAGGAGAAAAGGAAATTATTACTAGAAAGATTTAACGCAGGAACCATACATGAACACAAGTTACTAGATAAAATTCCAGGTTAAGAACATGCTCTATGCTAATTGGCTGTCTTATTCATTGAATAAAATGTAAAGTAGCAGAGAAACCGAATCTATATGAACAATCTCATACCATTTAATTTTTCCTAGTTATTGTTACATGGAACCAAAATGAATTTCAGTATCCTGCAAGTGACTTTGGTCTCTGATATTTCTGCCCAAAAACCGTGTAGGGCGATTTTTATCAAGCAAAACTGTACATTTTTAGTAATCAGAACTATCTAGTGAGTTCAGTAGTTAACGCAACACCAAAGCCCTCAACAATGACAGTTGTTTGCTGCGCGAGTTCAGTCATTAGCGCAACATCAAAGCCCAACCAAACCAACTACATAATTTCCGGGAGGAACAATTTCCGGGAACACATGCTATGGCCCTACCTAAACCCACTTTGGACCACTGGCCCATTCTTACTCTAGTTGTCAGGAGAGGACCGAAGCCTCTTAGATTCAAATTAGCCTGGCTTGAAGAAAACTAGCTTTCCACTCTTATTCCTACCTGGTGGAACTCCTTTTCCCCCCTGGTTTCGGGTAGAGCTGGGTATAGGCTCTAAACCAAAATACAACTTCTCAAAGCCTCTCTCAAAACCTGGAGTAGTTCAATCCTGGGGAACTACTCCCTAACCAAGTCCTCCCTTCTGAATACCATTCAAGATCTAGACCGAACAGAGGAATTCAAACCTCTGTCAGCCACAGAAGCCAACCTCCGAACCCAAACCAAGATGGATTACTTCTGCACCCTCAAAAAGGAAGAACTATATTGGTTTCAGAGGTCCAGAGTAAATTGGCTAAAAGCCGGGGACCAGAATACGGGCTTCTTTCACCGAACAGCAAATTGTCGAAGAAGAGACAATACCATCTCCACAATCAAAGTTGGCAACCGTATCCTAGACCAGCTTGCGGAATCGAGTCGGCCATCCTCTGTTTCTTTCAGAAGCTCTACTCTACTCCCTTGGGCCCCAAACCTAGGATGAGCAATCTCGATTTCTTATCTCTTCCAAGCCATTGGTCACTTTGGCTAGAGTGCCTCTTCTCTAATTTAGAAATCGCGAAGGCTGTCGACGACCGAGCCAAAGACAAGGCCCCTAGCCCAAACGGTTTCCCCATTGCTCCTTTTAAGATCTATTGGGAAACCTTCCAAGCAGATTTCCAAAGTTCCGTCGATGAATTCTTTTAATGGGGAATTCTTCACAACATCAACGCAACCTTCATTGCTCTAGTTCCTAAGATAGAAGGGGCAGAGGAACTCAAGGATTTCCGACCAATCAGCCTTGTTAACTCTTTTTACAAAATTCTGGCCAAGGTCCTGGCATCTAGGATGAAACAAGTCCCCCCCCCTAATTATAGCGCCGCCTCAGTCTGCTTTCATTAAAGACAGTCAAATCCTAGACGGGGCTTTAGTGGCACATGAATGCTTTCACTCTAGGCACATGTCCAAAAAACCCGGCCTCATCTTCAAGATAGACTGGGAAAAGGCATATGACCATCTCGACTGGTCAATATTGGACGAAACAATGTCTAGAATGGGGTTTTGGGTCCTTTGGAGAAGGTGGATGAGAGTCTGCTACTCTCATCCACATTTCTCAGTCCTAATCAATGGGACTCCAAAAGGTTTTTTCCCATCCTCGAGGGGGCTTCGCCAAGGGGATCCCCTCTCCCCTTTCCTCTTTGCCATCACAGCAGAAGCATTCAGTCGCTCAATCACTCGCACCAGGAAGGCCTTCTCACCGGCTTCAAAAGCAACGCTCAAGTCCAAATTGTGTTTCATCTGCAATACGCAGATGACACATTGGTGTTCCTTGATGCGACACCAGAAGAAATTGATAATCAAAGGGTTTTTCTAAAATGCTTCGAATTAGCAACCGGTTTACAGGGGTAGCCCTCACAAACACCGAAACCAGAGCGATAATTCCAAATTGGGAATGCAAATGGAGAACTTTCCCACTACCTACCTTGGTCTACCCTTGGGAATGGGAAAACCAAAAAAGAAACAGTGGTCTCACGTGATCGGTTGGCAGGATGGAAAGGGAGATATCTCTCTCTTGCAGGCCGCACCACGTTAGTAAAAGCAACCCTAGCTAACTCCCCTGTCTACCTTTTGTCTCTTTTCCACATGCCAGCCTCATTGGCTAACGCCTTGACCAACTAATGAGGAATTTCCTTTGGTCAGGTCAGGCCAAGAAAACCAAATGCCAACTCATCTCATTAGACAAGGTCAGTCTCCCCAAACTTCAAAGAGGGCTGGGGATCAGGATCCTCAAGAAACACAACCTGGTTCTACTAGGGAAATGGTGGTGGAAGTTAGCCACTCAGACTAACTCCCTTTGGGCTCAGGTCCTCCATAACAAATATAGGATTTTGGAAGATGTGTGGGTGCCTGAGGGGAGATCCTCGAATAGGATTTCAAGTGCATGGAATTCCTTCATGTCTTCTCTCTCCTTGCTCAAAAAATTCATCCGCTTCATCCTAAGGAAGGTACTAGAGTCAGATTCTGGTCAGATCGCTGGCTAGGCCACACTCCTCTAAAGGACCTCTTCCCCTCCCTTTACTCCCTAGGAGGGATTCTCTTGTTTGGACTCCCTCGCCTTCCGGCATTTTTTCGGTGGCCTCGTTTTACAAAAAACTTAGCCTCCTACCTTCCCACTCAACCCCATCTCGATCCTCTCCAAGGTTTGGTCGACCATCGCCCCTCCTAAAGTGCAGACCTTCAACTGGATTGCATGCTCCCAAAGGGCTCTCACAGTTGACCAGATCCAAAAGAAGGGATTCCAATCCCTAAAAGGTGTGTGCTATGTCTAAGCGAGGAGGAATCGAACCCGCACCTTTTCATCCACTGTAACATAGCACACGACCTGTGGGGCCTCTTAATCTAGCTGTTTGGATTCCAATGGGTCACCCCACCTTCAGTCACGGTTGTAATCTCCTCGTATCTCGCCTCTCACTGGCCGAAGTCTAGAAGAACCTTACGAAAGGTTGTCGTTGCAGCAACTTTATGGGTCATTTGGTTAGAAAGGAATGCCAAGATCTTTCAAGGCCGCAAAAATGAAGTTCTAGCATTTTTCCACAAGATTACTTCTTTAGTAATCTTTTGGGCCTCCAACCATAGGGCCTTCTCTAGGATATTGGCAAACACCTTCCTCAGCCAATGGGTAAACATCCTCCACCTCCAACTACAAAAGATTCAAAGATCCAACAATTGGTTGGCCCCTCCAGAAGGCACCATCAAACTTAACTTCGATGATTGATTCTAGGGAACCCTGGCCCAGCTGGAGCTGGTGGAGTCTTCCGCGACCATCAACGCAACATCCTGCTCACTTATTCTAAGAACTTAGGCCATGAAGACTCTCAGTTCGCAGAAGCCATGGCTCTGCTCTTGGGAGTTAAACGCTTCAAACGTACTTAGGAATCACACCTTTGCGTGGAAGGAGACCCTCAAAATATTATTTCCTGGGCAGCTGGGACCTCACCACCTCCATGGTACCTATCCTCTATATTTGATGAGATTGCTTACGCTTGCAAGGATATGGTCGTCTCATGGATGTATATTTGGAGGACGTCCAAAGAGTTAGCCGATTTTCTGGCGAAAGACAAAAGATGGAGCTAGGGCTCTAGCATAAGACCTCGCCTAGACTAGTTTTTTTGGGGTTGTAGTCGTTCAACAGAAGCCGCCCGTCCATCTCTTGCTCTGGACCACAGTGGGCGTACCTTTGCTTATTCACACTTGCTGTAGTTCTAAAGTTGCCGCCAGTCTATCTCTTTTTTTGCTCTGGACCACAGTGGGTGCAACCTTGTTTACTCACGATACAATACACTCCTTGTAATCGAGCAATTCTATAAGCCCAAATATTTTGTATAGGGTCTTTTGACCTATTTTTTGACCGAGAGACCTGACTTGTGGGTACTCTCGAATCCCCTTTCTGTATCATGTTACTCTCACAGCAATACAAACGTTAAATTTATCAAAAAGAAAAATAACTACATAATAAAGAGCCCTTTGTGCTATGCATATTCAGTCGTTAGCTGAGTCTTGTCAAAACCCAAGTAGTAAAAATCCCTTTTTGTTTTTGCCCTAGGACCGAGTGCCAAGCAACATCAAAGCATTTTCTCGAAGTGTTAAATGATAAATCACAATTTACAAGGTTGCAATTTCGAAACCCATCAAAGCCATGCATCTTTTTCATAAATTCTTCTCCTTGTAATCGAGCAATTCTATAAGCCCCAATATTTTGTATAGGGTATTTTGACCTATTTTTTGACCGAGAGACCCGACTTGTGGGTACTCTCGAATCCCCTTTCTGTATCATGTTACTCTCACAGCAATACAAAAGTTAAATTTATCAAAAAGAAAAATAACTACATAATAAAGAGCCCTTTGTGCTATGCATATTCGGTCGTTAGCTGAGTCTTGTCAAAACCCAAGTAGTAAAAATCCCTTTTTGTTTTTGCCCTAGGATCGAGTGCCAAGCAACATCAAAGCATTTTCTCCAAGTGTTAAATGATAAATCACAATTTACAAGGTTGCAATTTCGAGACCCGCCAAAGCCATGCATCTTTTTCATAATTCTTCTCCACCTCATGGAGTGCTGAAATGAGACGCCAGCCCAAAGGCCAGTACCACAGTAAAATTGTTCCTAGTCTTGCTATTGTCTAGACAAAAAGAAAAACCTTTATAACTAAATGGTTATACTTCAAATCAAAGATAAAAGCATTCATTAAAGTGTTTTGGCAGCTATTGCACAAAAATGATCAACAGCACCACGATTTACAGACTTGATATTTCGATTCAAGACTTACCAGAGGCAACCTGGCTCAAACCAGTCCGAAATCCCTTCAACATATAAAATGAAAAAGAAATCAACAAGAGAGATTTGACAGGTTCTTAGTGAAACTCAGTGCGCATTCATTGAAGCTTATGAGATGCAAGCAAGTCCTGTAAGATACATATGAATAGCATGAGGTAGAGCAAGTGACATGAATCTCAAAAAAGTCATAGTTTCATCCTTAGTGGCTATCTCAGCCTGATAAATTTGGAGATGGGTTCTAAGTGTTGTTATTTCCTGTCCAATTTATCATTTTAACTACCAGCAACCAACTACAAATCAAGGGTTCCAATTTCCTAATGGTTGCTTCTGTGCAAGGAAGAAGTAGAAATATAGACCACTAGCTTGATTTTGCAGCTTCACTTGGAGGATATGGACTTTGGATCAGAAGTTTTGTACAAGTTTCCTACGCCTAGTTTCCTTAGAATAGGTGCTAGGGGTGAAAACAGGTTGGGTGTAGGTCTGGTAGACCCCGACCCAATCCCAACCCAAATATTCATTTTTTTCTTTCTGTTGGTCTGGAGGGAAGGGGGATTGGTGGTGGGGGGTTGGTCAAGAACCAGCTGGGTCTCAACCCCCCTACTAGTAGAGCCCAAAGATCCCAAATCCAACCTGGGTAGGGTTATAAAATATTACAATAATAATATAATAATTTTACTATATTGATATAATACAATGATATTATATCATCATCATCCGATCCTTATCCCAACTATTTGTGGTTGGTTACACGAATCATATCCCGTCATTCCACTCTATCAAGGATCATACCCTCAAGCAAACCATAAGCCACCATATCTCTTCTTACTACTTCCAATCATGTTCTTTTGGGCTTTCCCTTGCCCCTTTAGAGCCTTCCACTTGAACCAAATCGCCCATCCTAACCAATGTTGTTCTAGGTCGATACTGCACATGGCCAGACCACCTATATTACTATACATTATACATTTTATGGGTAAATGTATAATACATACATTTTTATACATAACATATTATATATGGGTTATGTTTGGGTGCTCACTATAGAATAATTTATTATTGTACTCAACAAAATTTGGACACTTATGTACCCTTGTTTTGTACATGGAGCATTTTTTTAATAAGGGTATTTTTGGTCATTAGGAGGGGTGTGACGTCATCTAAATAGGGTGTGACATCACCTTCATGGGAATTTAATGCTCCATGTGGGTGATGTCACACCCCATGTGGATGATGTCACACCCCTCCTTATAACCAAAAATACCCTAACTAAAAAATACTCCATGTACAAAACATTGGTACATAAGTGTCCAAAATTTATTGAGTACAATGATAAATTATTCTATAATATGAGCACCCTAACATAACCCATTATATATTATCATAGGTTGTATATTAAACATTATATATTATATTTAAATAATACTTATTATATACTCATGTTAGGTCAGGTTGGATCGACCCAACCCAATAAGCACCTCTAAAGAGATGTGCTTTACATACTTCTATAAAATGACCACACTTTCTTAAGAATTTAAAGAGCTAATCAAGTATCCTAATGAATTATTAACTTTGTAACTATACTTGGGTATAGTATAATAGGTTTTATAGGTCAGCAGGATGTTGCTAGGTTTTGGAATCAACGATTATCTCATAGTCATTGTCATCAAAGCATATTTTTTCACAGCTAACCTCATTGTTTGATTTGTCTGAGGTTTCAGCTTACCACCCATTTGACTGATAAGTATAACAAACAAAAGGAAAAGTTCACCAGAGTGATACAGACAAATAACCAAGAGAAAAAAAAAACTCCCCCATACAATTTGTTCTTCAACAAATATCTTCTCAAAGTTCAAGATATGGAAATTAATTATGTCATATCATGCAGCACAGTCAACAAATAAGTTGCCAACATTCCTGAATATAAATAGTGGCTCACCCCATCTGATGCCGAAATAATTGACTGAAGATTTGGTATTGAATCTGCACTCTCAATTTTAACGATCACATGAATATCAGCACCACAACCTACAAAAGAGAGTCCTTTTAGATTGTTTCTTTCAGATACATAAAATTGCAAACATCAAATGTTTGTCGCATACATACACAAATACTAGTGGGGATATGTAGGCAATCATACGAATGTATGCTTAGATGAAGTTTGAGATGCAAAGAAGTGCAGAAAAATTCAATTCCAGAAGGGTATAAACCAGGTACATGCACATGTACTGCATGACAAATATGACCAGCAATAGGAGCAAGCCATACTAATTCTCGATGAATCATTGCTTCAGATTCACAGTCACTTTGATGAGAAATTCATCTATGAAAGAATTATTTTTGCTTCTGAAGTTCTGAACCATCCATTTCGGTATCAAATAAGAGTCATGTTACACATGCACAAGCTCAAACGACCACATGCTGATAATAAGAAGAGAGAGAGAGAGAGAGAGAGAGAGTATTCACTTTTAAGGTAGTCCTTCAATTCGTGAACTACTTTAGCATCTTTTACAAATGAAACAGCATAGAAGTCAACGTTGTTATCCACCCCAAACTTGATATCTTCCCAGTCCTTCTCTGTCCAAGAACAATAGATGAGGACATAAGACACATTGGCAGTCTACAAATTTCACCAATATAGCCTTACACGAGAAGAATCGCAAAAGAAAAGACATTGAAGTCTCAAAGAGCTTCCTTGATAGATAAAATATTATGAATACCTGTTATTGAAGGCAGGGTTGCACTTTTTCCCCGCACATTCAAGTGACGCCTAGATTTAAGTTCTCCCCCATCAATGACTTCACATGTAACTGAATCCAATGTTTTTGATTTTACCGCTAAACACATCATTCCACCTGTTCCAACACCAATATGAAGCTTAAGATTCATGCAAATTCGTCCTTTAGTATGAATTTTTGTTTAGAGTTAATAATTGTAAAAACTATCCCACTCAATGATAAATTCCTTAAGAAATTGAGCTTATTCCATAGTTTACATTTACATTATGATTGCATTATACTAGCATCGATAAATTGGAGAGAGAGAGGTACATATTGCTTATGAATACAGGTTTTCCTTGAGAACTCAACAAGTCCCATAATAATTAAGCTCCCAACATAACAGCAAAGAGAATCATAGCTACCACCATAGACTATGCCAACAAATTAAAGGAAAACAAAATGTCAGATTAACTACATTTAAGAAGTATATTATCAGAACATACACTGCAACTAACGACTTTTCCCCAAATCATGCTCTTCCATGTTAAAGATAAATAGTATTTAGATCAGCAGTAAGCCTTACTTTTTATGATAAAAAAATATTGAAACTTACCATCAACCAAGAGAGTGTCCCCCTCCTCAACATCATTCACAAAATCATCGTAATTTACACTAACAACGTTTTCTGAATTGACTCCTCTCCTGATTGTGAAAGTGAACTCCTGACCAGCCTTCAGCATTATTGGTTGAGGTAAGTCTCCACTTCTAACCTCAGGACCCTGAATGAGGATCCCAACAAGATGCATAAATTGTCTTCAATAAATTAAGATGCACAAAAGAAAAGACGAAGGTTCTTGATCAGGCAAAAAGCGAAACAAACATGAGCGAACCAGTTTGCTAAACTAATTGACATTAAAAAAAACACCTAATTTCATCGGAATATATACCTGTAATCAAAATATTTACTTAGGGTGAAGCTTGCAGATAGAGTTTATCCAAAATACCAATTTTATATTTTAAGAGATCAGTGACATGTCATAGAACATCATGCAGATTCCACTTCTCACAACAAATACCTCAGCCACGCTGGAACTACCTATTCTCTTAGTTCTCACCTATAATGGACATTTATAATGTAATCAACACGTGCCTAGAGCCAATTCATCCTCAAACTCATAAGAAAAAGTGGGATGCGAGGACCAGATGGGTCCCATCCCCATGTGTGGAATTTCATCACTCTCTATTAGGAGATGAAGGATCACAGCCATCCCCTCTTTTGTGGGGAGGGGAGCTAGTTAGTGCTTCATCTATGTCTTCATATAAAGTGGGGCATGGGGGCTAGTGTGTACCCCCCCATGGAGTTCCTATTAAACCCATCCCCATATATGGATTGGGGTTTACCAATAAAGTTAGTAACAAAACAAAGGCACTAGGGTTTAGAAAGTCCCCCATTGTCTTTTGTAGGATGGAAGATTACTTGCCCAATTGTTCCCTCGAAATGCTAAATCTAACTTTAGATGAAAATTCAAAGCAAAAATAGAACATCTAATGATGCAGAGAGAAATTAGGAAAATTCAAAATTTTAGAGTTATTATTTTTTTGTTTATTTTTCTTAGGAATAGGAAGCTTGGTGCATGAGTTTGGGTGCTTGTGTTGTGCGTGAGTTTTAGATAGGGATAGCTTCGTATTAGTTAGTGGGGATAGTATGGTATTAGTTGAGATAAGGACAACATGGAACTAATAGAGAGATAAGGAAGAGTTGAAAAAAAAGATTTACAAATATATGAAATTAGAGAGAGACATAAGGGAGGAGAAAAGGTGTCGCATGGAAATTTGAGAGAGAAAGATAATGGAGGATGAGAAAGGTGGTATGGAAGGATAGGTTTTTTTTTTTTTTCACTTGCTTCTTTTTTGTTCTTTTTTTTTCTGTTGCATGCATTAAAAGAGGTGTGGCCCCTCTTTGAAACACAAAGATTGGAATTGAGTAAAGAACTTGGGTCTTCTGAAAAGATCTTTGGGGTAGACTCCCTTGCAGATCCTGAGAGAGGGTATATTCTCTCACCCTTTATTACTATTTTTATTTTAATTATTTCTTCCCTACATCTTCCCTACATCAATTGATATCAGAACAAGTAAGATCCATCAATCACAATGCCACTAAAACCTGCTTTTACACTCGAGGATATATTGGCCGCAAATCATGGATTTTGTGGGTCAGCAAATTCAGGAGAGCATGAACACAGGCTTGGAGGGTATCCGATGAGACATAAATGAAACTAGTAAGAGGTTGTAACAGTGGGAGGATGCCATTCATCGAGAAGAGGGCGCTCGCAACCACGTGGATTTGGCACCAAATCTCACTGTAGAGACAAATCGAGTTTCCCGACTGACTCGAGCTACTAATCCAGAACGTCAAGAACAAATTTGCAAACAAGATCCATGTCCTATAAGACACCCATAAGATTTCTGTATTAAAGTCGATCTCCCAGAATTTCATGGTAAGCTCCACATAGGGGCTTTTATTGATTGGTTAAATGAATTGAAAATTATTTTGAATGGAGTGAATTATCAAAGGAACATAAGGTTAAACTTGTTGCAACGAAGCTCTGCGAGTATGCGACGACATGGTGGGAGCAAGTTCAACAATCCCGATTTCTCAGTGAAAAGGGAAAAATTACTGCCTGGCAAAAGATGAAAAATAAATTGAAAGAAAATTTTCTTCATGTGGATCATGAGCAAATTTTCTTTCAAGAACTCCAAAATCTTCGACAAAATGAGAAGAAAGTGGGACAATTATACTAGGGAGTTTTATCGATTAGTAGCTCGAAACAACCTCCAAGAGCTGGACGAACAAAAGGTTGCTCGATATGTAAATGCGCTTCAACCAACCATTAGGGATGACTTTTTTTTTACATCGATCATGGACTTTAAGTGAAGCTTTTCGAATTGCTTTATGAGTAGAGACTAAATACCAATGGAGCACCGATAAGCGATTTTACACTCAGAATGAGGTTTCACGCCAACCAAAATTTAATGAAGAAAAAAGAGATATTTCAAAGAGTACATATTACCGGTGCAATTAAACAGGACACCGTGCACATGAATGTGCCCAAAAAAGAAGGTGGAGGTGCACTTAGCACTTAGCTAAGGAAGGGGATGAAGCTCAAGAAGAAGACCAAGTTCCTAAAATAATCATGCATGGTGATGAAGGGGATCCACTTTGAATCAATCTCAAGGTCGAGCTTCTCCCAACTTCGAAAGAATGACACATAAAGAAATTCGAAAAATTCAAAACTTTAGTGTTATTATTTTTTTGTTTATTTTTCTTAGGAATAGAAGGCTTGGAGTGAGTTTTAGATAGGGACTTGGTTGGTATTAGTTAGTGGGGATAGCATGGTATTAGTTAGGATAAGGAGTACGTGGACATGATAGAGAGATAAGGGAGAGTTGAAAAAAAGGACGTAAAGTTGGAGAGAGAGAGAGAGAGAGAGAGAGAGAGAGAGTATATATATATATATATATATAAGGGAGGAGAAAAGGTGTCACATGGAGAAAGATAAGGGAGGATGGAAAAGGTGGTACGGGAGGATAGGTTTTTCTTTTTATTTCATATTGTTTATTTTTCTATTGCTTATATTCAAAGAGGTGTGGCCCCTCTTTAAAGCACAGAGATAGAAATTGAATAAAGAATTTGGGTCTTGCGAAAAGGGGTAGAGTCCCTTGCAGACCCAGAGAGAGGGTATATACGCTCACCCTTTATTATTATTTTTATTTAATAATTTCTTCTCTCCATCTTCCGTGCATCATCTAACAACCAAATGACACCCATGAGCTTCGTTTTTATTCATGGGGATGACCCAAAAGGTGAGTATTATGGGCATCTTTGATCCCCCTTATATAGAGATCACTAGGGTTTCTTGGTTGCTCCCAAAGAAACCTCATAATGTTTTTGCCCAAAAGACCATAATACCCCTAATCTTTTAAGAAAACATAAGAGAAGTGATTTTAGTTGTCATCAAACCTAACAATTTCCACCTTAATAGCAAAATCACCATATTTAGATTCCTTGATTTCTTCCTGTTTGCCTCTATTTGGAATTTTCATAAACACTTTGCTGCCATACATATTTTTCCACCTCGAACCATGTACCAATCTAACTTCATCATGAATCTTTTTCTCCGCCAAAAATACAAACGTTGGCCCCACGTACACCTTGTACTCTGACACCAATCTGATGGAGATAAGAGCACAAGTAGCCACGAGTATCTTCTATGGGAGCGACAAATTCCTCCGAATTTCGAATCATATTTGAAGGATGAAAACTCTAGGAGGGCTTCCAAGGAGAACAAGAAGAGCAAAAAATAGTTTTAGTGCTTTTTTTGTTTTTAAGGCTATTTTAGATGTTTTTTATTTATTTTATTTCATTGTTGAACCAATTAGGGACTTTTTAGATATTTTAATTAAAGTTAGGGAGTTTAATTTCAAGTTACATTTAAGTTAGGGCCTTTTGATCAAAAGTTAAATTGAATGGACAAATATTGTCTAAAACAATAATTTTTCAATATAAATAAGGGCATGGATAGGCTGGAGAGTCATTCATATATTCCTCTTTAAGAAAAGAAAGATTTTGTCTTGTAAAGGATTCAGCCCTATGTGGAGAAAACCCTAGAGTTTCTCCAAAATTGTGTGCTTCTTGCTGATTTTTCTTGGTTTCTTCAAATTCTCCTACATCAAGTGGTATCAGAGCATGGTTCAAGGACGGTTGAAGATTGCGATGGCTTGTCGCGGAGGTCTTAGCCGTAGGGATGCCGATCTGATCCAAGAAATCAACAACTTGACAGATAAGGTTACAGAGCTATTGTTGTGCAAGCGGTGCCAGCAACAGTGTGCCCCAAACAAAGAGGAATCTATATGGATAGATCCAAATCGTGATTATGGAGAATGGCACGAATCAAAGTCCGACTCAGAGTTGGAGCGGAATGATGAAGCTGCCTTCAACCACCCGTTCTATGCACACGCTCCGTGTTGGGAGCCTCATGTTCGGGAGAATAAATCATGGGATTTAGTTGATCTACATGATTTGAAGGAAAACGAGGTTGATCTTGGTGTATGTCGTATCGAAAGTCAGAAGGTTGTAGATTGGGATTTGCCACCAATTTTCGATACATACTTATATGATGAAGAAGATTTTGGAAGAGATCTAATCTTGATGGCAATCAAGATTTCGTGGGTGAACCGATCTTTGACGAAGAAAAAGATGAAGATCTGGAACATTTAGGAGATTTAGGGCATTAGAATCTGAGTAGCGCAATGGAAGTGTGGTTGACTCAGAATCAGCAAATTGTGGCCTTGATTTCAAAAAGTGATCAAATAAATGTTGAGAAAATCTCTAAAGGCCAAAAAATTGAGTTTGGAGTATCTCACATGATTTCCAATGGGAGTTCACGAATAACTGAATTTGATAAAATTGCATGGATTCCTCAATATCCATATCAGAACCCATTTCTTGAGGATTTTTTTTTACCTTGAATAATATTTGAGCCGATAAAGAAAAATAAAGTTAAAAGAATGTGGTTTTGATGTTGAGTTCATTTTAACACACTTCAAAACTCGAAGACGATTTTTCTCCAATAAAGGAAAAATGATGGAGGGAAAAATTCTTCTTATTTTGTATTTTTATTGAATTTCAATGTTTTATATTGTAGTTTTAGTTTTAGGGTTTATTTCAAGGGTTTTTAGGAATTCTAGGGCTTTTATTTTTTTTATTTACTATTCATAA